TGGATGGATGGGTGGATGGGTGGATGGGTGGGTGGATGGATGGATAGATGGATGGATGGGTGGGTAGATGGATGGGTAGATGGATGGATGGGTGGGTAGATGGATGGGTAGATGGATGGATGGGTGGGTGGATGGATGGATGGGTGGGTGGGTGGATGGATGGGTGGGTGGGTGGATGAATGAATGGGTAGATGGGTGGATAGATGGATGGATGGATGGGTGGGTGGGTGGATGGATGGATGGATGGGTGAACACGTGAATGAATGGATAGATGGGTGAGTGAGTGGAGAGAAGGGTGGATGACGGAGGCATAGGTGGATGGGTGGGCGATGAGAAGCCAGCCCACGGCTTCCTTAGGAGTGGATGCAACCATCAGGGAAGCAGTCACCTCAAGCTGCTGAGATAAGACTTCCCTAAGACCACTTGAGGTGCCCCCAGGAAGTCCAAAGACATGGGCAATAGTCTGTCCTTGCTCCCAGAGAAGTGGTCTGTGGTGTCCCTGCTCCCTGACGACCCTATAAATGAAGACTCAGCCACTCTCTTCTCAAGGCACAAGAGAGCACCCRACGTGTAGAAAGGACATGCCCCAGAGTCACAGGACTCCCGCCCACTGCCTCCCACGCGGAGTCTCAGTCCTCGGGCGCCAAGACCTCCTAGCCCAGGGCAGTGGAAACAGGCAGGGTGGAGGCCTTCCCCGCCCACTTTGGGTCTGACCAGCTCCTAGGGAACCTACCAGTCCTCGGCATTAGTGGGGAAGAAGTAGCCCTTGATCATGGCGAACGTGGAGACGGTGTAGCCCAGGAAGTTGGCGCACCAGAGCAGCGGTATCCAGTTGTCAAAGATGATGGTGGGGGAGAACCAGGACAGGAGGTGGGAGTTGGCAAACCAGAGGAGATGCGTTATGAGCCAGGCCTGCAGGCCGTTGACCTGGTACTTGTTCACGGCGCCTGCGGGGAGGGCGAGACACACGGGAGCCCTTCCTGACCTGCACCGGTGGCTTGGCTGCCTGTCCCTGCCTGGTCGAGGCCCTACTTGCTCCCTGGGTCCCCTGTCCAAGGAGCCTGGGGGCCAGCCCAGAGGGAGCTACTTCCAGGTTCACCAGYCGAATGGCCAGCAGCACCCCTCAGACTGCAGAAGGGAGGGAGGCCAGCCCTCTCCCTTGGCCGATTCTCCTTAACTGGTCACAACTGAGCCATGGGCCTGGGGTTTGTCCGGAGGGGCAACAGGCGCAGAGTAGGATTGTCCCCATGGGTCCCAGGCTCCCCTGGTGAGTGCCCGGAGCCCGCCAGCCTCCCCCCAGGCAGGAAGCTCTGTGGGCAGAGACAGGGAGGACGTCCAAACCACATGCCCCTGTGCAGCCTGAAGCTGGACMGAGGTGGGTTTGGGTCGAGACGTTCAGGGTGTGAGTTAGGAGGCCACTCCATGGATCTGCCATGGGACTGGGCAGAGTGTGGGGGCCAGGRGCCCCTCCTGACTGAGGAAGGGATTTCAGCCTCCCACGGGGACAATGGCTGCCCTCTTCTRCCCAGAGGCCCGGTGCCGTGGACAGTTCCCAGTAAACTCATTCCCCTCACAAGTGGTCTTTGGGACAGACTTGGCTTGGGAGGGCCAGCCCGGGACATGGAAGCACAGGGCAGCCAGCGCCTGGATGCCACTGGCCCGGGCAGGGCCCAGGGTGTGGGCAGGTGGACGGGGGTACCTGCCGGGGTCACGGCCCCTTCTTGCACTCCTCCTACGTAGCCCGGCAGGAACCTGTGGCAGAAGTCGGGAAGCATCGTGTACAGAAGCACCTGGGAGACACAGCGCCCAGCCCAGTGACCGGCAGCCCACAGCATGATGGGGTGGTCCACTGCTGCGTCACCGGCAGAGCAGGACCCGGGGCTGGGGCCGTGCCCCACACAACAGCGTCTACTCCACAAGAGCCTCGGCTCCCGGGAGCTCGGGCTGCAGGCCTAGCAGAGGTTCCCGAACCAGCACCCACCCTGGAATGCGCCCCAGACACCCTGACAGCCCAGCTACCCCGGGACACTCTGTCCTTCCTAGTCCCCTATGGGGGCTCAGGAGGCTGAGGCAGGAGGCTCGCAAGTTCCAGGCCAGTCTCAGCAACTTAGCAAGGCCCTAAGCAACTCGGCAAGACCCTGTCTCAAAAAACAAAAAGGGCTGAGGAYGTGGCCCTGGGAAGCCACCCTTCCTGGTGGCCTCCTGGATTGGGGGCCAGCGCCATCACAACAGAKCCAAGGACATCCTTGAGCAGGACCCAGGGGACGTGTGGGGAAACACTGGCCTGGCCTTCTGCTCTGCAGTGTCCACTGGGGGCTGGGACACTCCTGAGCCAACGGACGCCCCCGCCCCGTGTCTCCACCACGCCCTGCGGCGTCCCAGGAACGTGACTGTCCCCGACTCAGGACCCCACATCCCAGTCAGAGGCAGGAGAGCATGACCCCTGCAGCGACCCCAGGCAGGGTCTGACCTGGAAGGCCACCCACGAGGTGTAGAGCAGGGCGGCTCGCGTGGTCACCGGCGGGGTCTTGGCCCAGATGTCTGCCAGGCTGGCACGGCCGGCGGCGATGTCCAGCAGGGGCGCGGTCAGCGAGCAGCTGTACTGGTCGCACGCCATGATGAAGTAGTACACGATGAAGGGCGCGAAGAGCAGCAGGAGCACAACGCTGGCCAGGGAGAACCAGTCCACCTCCCTGCGGGAGGCCGGCGCTCAGCAGGCCACCTCCCTGGGCCGCCGTGTGCGCCCTGCCCGAGCCAGCCAGCCGCTGGTGACAAGGCTCCAGCTCTGCAACCCTCCCGCCGCTGGGGYGCGCTCCTCGGAGATGGGCAGGGCCAAGGGCACCCACAGAGCCCAGGGCCCTTCGTGGCCCCCAAGACCTGCCCTGTCCCAGGCCAGGGAGGACGCTCCACCTGCACCACGGCAGGCCACCGAGGGCACGCAGGGCCCCGCTGCTCTGCAGGAGGTGACAGGGGTTGACATCCCCATCCAAGCCCCAAGTGACCAGAAGCTGGAACTCAGAGGGCACGCATGGTGCCAGGTGAAAAGGTCCACGTCTGGCTCACGTGGCCAGTCGGCTCACAGTGCAGGGGTTACAAGCACTGTGCCAAGTCACCCGCGGTCATGGGGACGAGGGGCCACGCGGTACGCGTGAAGCTCGGGCCCCGCGCCTCGGTACCCACACGCAGATATCCCACCCCCAGAGCATCGGTCGGAAGCCCCCACGGTACCAAGCGTCGTGGAAAAGGGACGGTCACCGAGATGGGCCTGCTCCCCTGCTCCAGCCCTCACTTCCCCCCTGGGCTGAGGGCGCAGCGCTCAGGTGGAGACCTGAGAGGACGGGGTGACCTCACCAGGCGCGGCCCCACTGGCCTTGAGTCGCTGCCTTGCCGTTGGTGACGCGGCCGGGACTCCCGGGCTGGGGAGCGCTGGGCTGGGATTTGGCGGCCATCGGGTCCTGGAGGAAGACAGACGTCCTGCTCAGTGGTCCCTGAGGACAGGACCCCGCTCTGCCAGGAGCACGGCCAGGGCTCGCGGGCCACCCGTGCCTGGCCCCCTTCCGCTCCTTCCTGACAGCAGGCTCCAGGTGGGACAGGCAGCTTTCGGGCTCAGGGCCCCCCCCCCAGGCCTCCCGTCTCCCCTGTTAGGAGGCAGCCTCCCCGGGCAGGCACTGGGCCTGTCCATCTCCCCGCCAGGAGCCAGAGACACACAGCGCAGTGTCCTACAGACAGAAGGGAGGAAACTGTTTCCCAGGTCCCACTGCCTGGGGAAGCTTCCCACACATCTTAAAAGTGCTTGGAAAGCTGGGCACGGTGGCGCACACCTGTCATCCTAGCAGCTTGGGAGGCTGAGGCAGGAGGATCATGAGTTCAAAGCCAGCCTCAGCAACTTAGTGAGGCCTTAAGCAACTCAGCAAGTCCCTGTCTCTAAATAAAATACAAAAACGGGCTGGGGGGGCTGGGGCTCAGTGGTAGCGCGTTTGCCTGGCATAGGTGAGGCACTGAGTTCGATTCTCAGCACCTCATCTAAATAAATAAAAATAAAGGTCTATCAACAACTGAAAAGATATTCTTAAAAAAAAAAGGTGAGGGGTGGGGCAGCTAGGGATGTGGGTCAGTGGTTAAGTGCCCTGGAGTTCAATCCCTGGTATCAAAAAAAAAAAAAAAAAAACACTCAGAGAACCTGGTCAAGAACCACGGAGCCTTGGACTTCCCAACAGCAAACAGATGGCAGAAGACAACAATGAGACTCTCTAAAACTCCAAGGGAAACTTTCTCTCCATCTAGAATTCGATCCGAGGTCATCCAGAGCCTGGGGATCTAGAGAACGGCTCAGTGGAAGGGCAATCCAGGACAACAGCTACAGAGCAGGAGCGCAGAAACCACCCACACGTGTGAGACAAATGGCTCAGAAAGAAGGAAATGAAGTCCATCGATTCTGCTGTGTTTGGGTGTGTAGAAAAATTAGTGCCAGTTACATTAGAACGTTCAGGAAAAAAGAAATTAATGGTAGATGCATAAAAAACTTAGCAAGTGCACAAAATGAGGCGATCACTAACCCCAGGAAAAATAGAAAGCCMTACAATGGAAGAAAAAGAGACCAAACCATAAGATAGTGCATGCTGCAGTTTGAGTCACATGGAATCTCAAGCTGAAATTTAATTCTCATTGTGAGCTACTAAGAAGGTGGAAACTACCATGGGATTTAGAGGCGAGACCTTTCACAGAGGAGCAAAGCTACATGGGGCAACAAGAGCAAAGGCCTAATCTGATGGAACTGTGGCTTTAAAAGGAGAGGAAAGACCTTGGATAGGAGCTCTGTCTCACATGTGATTGATTTCTTGTGCCACCTCTGGACTCTGCAGAATCCCCACCAGTAGGAAGGTGCTTACCTGACAGTTACCCAATCTTGAACTTCCCAGCTTATAGGAATATAAGCTCGATAAACCTTTATTCTTTATAAATTACTCTGCCTATGGTATTTAGTTGTAGCAACAGAAAACATTCTAAAGCAGAACATTACTTGGCTCAACAATAAATGATATTAGTTCCACCACAGCAACGTAGCCTCATTAACTACTGGATGTGTCCAAGGAAATCTGTGAAGCTGGGAGGGACTGAAGCAAATTGCCATGAGCAGGCACCAACAACACAAAAACAGAAAAGAGAATGCAAGGTGCTTGCTGGGACAAGTGAGTGGCATGTGGGATGCCACACAGGGCTGTCTCTTCCCTCTGTCGAAGCTTTTAACACTGATTTCTTTCTCTTCTCTCTGTCGAAGCTTGTAACACTGATTTCTTTCTCTTCTCTCTGTCGAAGCTTGTAACACTGATTTCTTTCTCAAGAGTGACCATAAATTACTTTCTAAAAATTCACATTCATCCAAAAATTTCCCATGGTGCAGGCGCAGTGGCGCACACCTGTAACCCTAGCGACTTGGGAGGCTGAGACAGGAAGATCCCAAGTTTGAGAAAAATAAATTAACGTAAATAAAAAGGGCTGGGGATGTGGCTGAGGGGTTCAATCCCAGGACCAACAAACACATAGATAAAACCGCCRCGTTGGAAGGCGTTTCCATCTCGCAGGGGACAGTCCTGCCCCATTCCCAGCCAAAGCCCACCAAGTCAGTGCCCACCTCGGATCTCCAGTATTCATGCCAATCCACGTGAAACCCAAGGGCCCCCACGCACCTCTGCCTCGTGGAAGGGCCCACAGAGGGACTGGCACTGCACTACCTCCTGATTATCTAACGTCCAGAGAGTCACCGAGGGAAAGAGACCCTCAACTTGAGAACCAGGTGAAAAGCCAAGGGACGATGTTACCAAGAAGGAAAAGCAAGTCTCCCTGGATCAGAATAAAACCAGGTAAATGCGTTCAGCTGGCTCAGAGTCCAGGACCCAAGTCACCTTCTGTCCTGGGCACTGAATGCTGTCGTAGGCACTTGGGCACCAGCCTTGCTGGGAGGGGAGGGCGGCGGGGTCGAGGGGACTCCTGAGAAGCCCTGGCAGCAGCTGAGAGCCCTCAGCGGGTCTCCCAGTTGGTTCTCGTGTTTTCAAAGCCGCCAGGCCGCTGCTTATTCCCTACCTTCCACCTCTGGCCCGGCGGCTTCAGGTTGAAGGTTTCCTTCTTGGACTGGCCTTGACCGGCTCAGGATCTGAGGTTTCCAGACCTGCTTGGTCCTTCAGCAGCCGAGTGAAGCCCTGCAGGGGAGACAGAGACGTCAGAACCAGGGACGTGACAGGCAGGGTCGAGGGAGGGCACTCAGTTCCACGCTGGAGCACGCAGGGGCTACGCAGGCCCGTCTGGGGCCAGGGGCACCGACTCCTCCACCTGGTGCGGCATCTGGTGGGGGTGGTGGGGACTGAAGCGTGGGAGGTCCGCAGGTCTTGGAGCCCATGCTGCCTGGAAACGCACCTTACATGGGACCCTCGTGGGCAGGGCTGGCCAGCAGCTCCGTCCACCGAAACCCCCCCAGGACATCGGCCACCTGAACCTCGCATAGTCCATGGGCACACTCTAGAAGCCACGGGGGGACCTGGGCGGCGGGACTCAGTGACCTTCACGGAGTCCTGTGGCATCAAAGCCCGTGCTCCTGGGGATCTGCGGGGGTCGCCCTTTGAGACGGATAAAGGGGGCTGAGCGTCCAGCGTGTTCAACCCAACCATGGAGACTCGGGTCCTCTGGAAGAAAGGACTCGCGGCTCCATTACAGAGGCTGGCCAAAGGCCAAGGACCTTCTTGGGACAGATTCCTGAAGCCACCTGTAAGATGGCCAGACAGCAGTCAGGAAAACGTCCACCAGACCCAGGGGTCCAGGGCGTCCCGTGGTAGATTTTTGGGACAGGAAGCACATCGTACAGAGCTGAAGCTGGCTGGACACAGGGGCAGGGCCACAAGAAACAGCTAGTCCTGGGGCAGAGGAGGGTCCCGAGGTTTCTGCTGCTGCTGCTGCTTGTGGGTGGGTTCCAAAGGCAGAACGGGGTTCGGCCCGCAGGGGGTCCTCAGCGCGGGGGGTGGAGGAGGGCCGGGCCTTTTCTTTTTCTGTACAGGTTTAGCTTGAAGCGGGCTCACAGGAGCTGCCTTTCCCTCCCCGCCCACATCTCTTGCCTGCAACTTTCTTTAGGAATCTCAGGGTTCCCCTCACACACGTGGGAACAGAGGAGGCAGGCAGAGGGACGGGTCCCACGACACCAGCCTGAGAACTCTGCTCCTGGGGCCTGGGATGACTCCGCCCGCGGTGGCTTTTTGACATCCTGAGGGTCACCACAGCAGGGCAGGTGGTGGCTGGCCCAATGGCCCCACCGAGGCTGACAGCTCCCAGTGTGCTCAGCCCCATGGCTAACATTCCCCACCTGAACACCTCGAGGTGCGTGACTCAACCCTGACCGAGGTCTCTAAGCCTCAGCTCCCTCTTCTGCAAAGTAGCCACGTCTCCCACTTTGTTAAGTGAGAAGTGAATGGGATCATGGGTGCCAGGGGCTCAGGGCCACACTGGACTCCCGAGTGTCCACCTGAGAGTCAGCCTTCACCCTCACTATCAGCAGCAGCCAGGGTTGGGGGCAGCTCCTCCAGGTGAGACTGGCAGAAGCAGCTACAAAATCAGCTGGCTCCAAAGACCTGGGGGGCCAGCACAGAGCATTCTGGTATCAACTGCAAAGCACATCAGCCCTGAGCTCCGTGGCTTCAAACAACAGATCTTTGTGAAGTGCCAAGGCACACACTGGTCATCCCAGTGATGCTGGAGGCTAAGGCAGGAGGACCTCTAGTTGAGGCCAGCCTCAGCAAACTTAGCGAGACCCTGTCTCAAATGGATAATACAAAGAGCTAGGGATGCCGGCCAGTGGTAGGGCACCCCTGGTTCAGGCCCCAGTGCCACAGAAAACCACAGATTTTCTTCATCTGCTCATGGTTTCTGCAGGTCAGGAGTCTGAGCAGAAGGCCTTGGCGGGGGCCCCTGCAGCCAGCCACGTGCAGCCAGCGCTTAGCTTCCAGGGCTCCAGTGCAGGCCGGCGGTGTTCCCCACAGCAAGGTGGCCTCAGGCCCTGCGTTTACAAGGAAGTACGGCAGAAGGAGGCTGCCCTTTCTGAGTGGCTGAGAGGACTGTGACATCACTCCCACCAAATCCGATTGGCCACAGGCTCCCTGTCACTCAGACTCCACCTCTAGATGGAGGATGGCCAGGTGCTGAAACCAGAGCTCTGTTGGTGACACCACCTGTCTGTCACTACTCATTTAGCCCTCACCCAGGGCCAAGGGCCCTCTGGACACGAACTCTCACACCTGCCTGGAGGGTGGGACTGCTCCTGCTAACAGACCCTGGGGACTGCAGCCCAGCTGCGACACAGGGGGGCAGGGGTGGGGGTGGAGTAACATCTGATGGTGAGAGAAGGTCCCAAGGCCTGCGCTGGGCACTGCTCTGGGGACCTGCCATACGGGAACACGGTTATTTGGCTGAAGCATCATGGGAGGAACAAGAGGTCCAATTTAGCAGTGCACGCGTCTCGGAGTGGTAGACACAGGCCTGCCCCAAATGGGGTTTCAAGATGAAAGAGAAAGACGCGACCCGGGCGGGCAGGGGGCGGGAGCCCTCCTGTGTGAGGCCACTGGCCCCGTGTGTGCAAGTACTCACCCTGGGAGATATTCAGAGGGCTGCAGGGACTAGCAGTGCCCTGGGAACACTGATAACGTCCAACAGGAGACCAGACCAGAAATGGGGCCTCACACAGGGTGGAGAAGGACACGCCCCTGTGTGTCGGGACAGAGGGCAAGGTACAGAGAGTACCACTGGGAGAGTCTCACACCAAGGCCTGAAACGGCGTGGGAGGCTCTGTGTCTGGCTTTGCTCCCTCTCTCCTACAATAATGAAAACTTCCAACAAATCTGGGAACACTTGTGTCTCTAGGGAGTCAGCGAGGTCATGGGCACCCTGTCTCCATACCCACGGCATGGTGAGGCAGGTTTGGGGGTGATCCTTGGGTTTGCCTGTACCTTTTCCCACTGGTGATCCTCCGTGGGTCCCCCAGAGACTCTCAAGCCACACCGGCTCAGTGTCAGGGTGCTAGCCGTCCCTTCAGGCTCTGCACTCACCTAGAGAGGCTGGGTGCCTGCCGGGAACTGACAGCCTCTGAGGTCTCAGACATGGGCGTGAGCGCTACATGGAGGGAATGCCCACAGGCCCTGCTCCCTGATTCTCAAGGTTAAACTCCTATTTTGATGGGAGTTACAAGGTTTCTGCTTCTCACAAGTCACAGGATATATACTCACTGAGTAAGAGTATAAGTCAAACATAGAAGGAGGGGAAAAAAGAAAGAAAAACCTCTTTCTCCTTCCAATCCATCCCCCAGGCATCATTAAACTTTGGTGTATATTTTCCCACCAATTATGTATCACCTAACACATCCACTCTCTCTCCTTTCTTTCCCCAAATCCTTTTGCCACCGGGTTCCACTGGGGCACACCTGTGCTTGGCTGGCGGTGTGCCGGTTGTAGATCTCCTACCTGCAGCAACTGCAGGGAAGGGTTGTGTTGGAAGCGATCCCAAGAGTCAGACACTGGTTATTCCTGACTTTCACTCTACAAACCATCCCAATTGTTAGGAGAAACAAGTCCTGCAGGCGGAACTAGTGCCCATCCTCAGCACGGCCACTGCCACCCACCTGGTGGTCTTCCAGGGCTTGGGGCTGTCCAAGCCACCCCTGGCCTTTCTGTCCCCAAGCTTCCCAAATTCCTCACTCCGGCCATACAACCCACATATTTCTTGAGAGAATAAATAGCAGTATTCACAATTCGGCTGAAAGGAGATTCACCAAGTCGTAGCAGGAGAGGGTCATTACCTAGGGTAACAGGGTGGGCCAAGGAGCATCCCCACACCTGCCCCTCCTCACCTGAGCACCGGCAGCTGCTCACCTGCGAGCTGGACCTTCGCTACAGCTGCCCGGGCCCCTCTCCACCGGCCCCACCTCACCAGAGCGCTAGTCCATCTCCACACCCGAGGGAGCATCCCGCTCCCAACAGCGCACCCCCACCAGGGCCCACGACCCGCTCACCTGCGCGCTCTCCTGGGCACCCCAAGACGCCGGCGCGGCAGGTCTCCAGCCAATCCCGCCCGCGCGCTGGACAACTCCGCAGCCCCCCGCCCCCGGGCGACATATTGCGATAGGCGACCAATCAGAGGCGGTGCTTGTGCGGCGGGCGTCCCCGAGCTCCGCGATTGGGCGAGGCACCTGAGCTGACTCCCGGCCCACCGCTCCGGCCACTTGGCGGCTACGGGCGCGAGATTGACGGCCCCTGCCGCCCGCCTTCGCCCCGCCCAGGCTCCGGCCCCGCCGGCTGGATTGGCTCCGCGGGGCTGCGAGCGGGGGGCGGTCACCTGGCCCGCCGGGGCTGGGTCGCAGAAAGGGGCGGGGACTGCTGGGACGGAGCCGGGAGGCCTCGTGGCCGCGGGTCGGCCGGGCGGCGTGCGTCTCCCGGTGCCTCGGTGTCTTCTCTGCAAGGATGCTCCACGCTTTCGAGCTCGGCGTGACCAGCAAAGAGCAAATCGGGCCCAATTCCTGCTCTTGAGCTCACCTTCTGGGGGAGCGGAGGGGACATTTTCCTATGTTACCAAAATGAAATGACCAATACACCGGTGTCCAGAGGTGAGAAATGGCACCGAAAAGTCCAGCCGTGTAAGAATCCCGGGGGACAGGGCAGCAGCTTTACTTAGGGGTCTCCGGGCGGATTGGCGGGCTGTCTCGAGGAGACGGAGCTCCAAGTGGGTACTTATTAGGGACCACACAGGCGCCCCCGCTAGGAGCCGCAGGCAGCAGCCCCGACAGCGCGAGCTGAACCTTGTGGTCGACCCCGGCGGAAACTGCGGCGAAGATGCCCCTAGAATTGCCCTGATGGTCTGGGATGGCCATGCCATGTGCTCCTGCCGCCACCAGTCCCTGGATGCAGGCCAGTCTTGCCAAGGCGAGACAACCCCTGGAGGGGTCGGCAGCTAGGCGACAGACCTATTGGAAGAGGGGTCTGTCAGGTCCTTCACCGAGCTCGGCTTGTTCCCCTCCGCAGCATGAATACAAGTTGGGACTTACCCTGTGCCCGGGTGCAGGAGCTGTGAAGTTTGCCACACTTCATTCATCTCACTTAATTCTTTGTGCGTGTTTTCTATTTCCCCCTTGAAATATTAGTTAGCTGAAGACACCATGATACTCTTAGAAATAGGGACCGACTGTCGGAAATCAAGCACTTGCTAAAACTGCATTAGCAAGGCACAGTTGTCCTGGTGCTGAAGWGTGCGCCCCCTAAGGGAATTCCAGAGCCAGCACTGGTGGGCGGGCAGGCTGCCAGTTTACCCCCAAGGAAGCACTGCCTGTGGCTCTGATAGGAAGAGTTTGGGGGTACAATCTAAGAGATTCAATAATTTACAACTGGGGAGGGCATGGAAAAGAGCTACAGTTGTGATTACATACCTGTTAGGGAATTTAAAAATGGCTCCATCTGCCCACGGTTCCCTAACCTAAAATGACTCCATTAAACACATAATCAATTTTCTAGGCCCTTTATGGGATGCACACCCAGAAAATGGCAGTATCGGTATGATCTGAGGATAGACTTCTTGGCCTCCTGCTGCCAAAAGTCAGCTCTCAGACAGGCTGAAGTGAAGAGTCAGTGATTTCAACAAAAACAGCCTTCAAGTCCCTGAAAAGTCACCCAGGCAGCCATCATTGTAATCCCATGTCAGAGGTGTTATCTACAGCAAAATAAGYGGGAGGCTAATCATTGCCCAGCTCTGTGACCTCCAGCACTGGTGATTTTTAAAGTCAACTAAAAGCAAGTAACTAAGGGGCAGCATGGGGCCTCCCAGAGAAGTAGAAAGGACAAAGGGTTGATTTGTATAGAAGAGGGGAGGCCAGCTGTGCTCGCTGACCAGCAACAATAAAGTTAGGATCCTGTCCTCCCTTGGAATCTCAGACACTGAGATCTTATTCTGTTGATGGTTACATTCTTGAGAACCATCCCAGGTCCTTGGGAGATGCTCTGAGCTGCAAAAGACACACGTTTACCATTGTGAGCTGCTCTTAAAGTCAATGCCTGGCAGGTTGTTAGGGTCCACCCATCAACAGCTTGGTATTAAAACCCCCTCGTTTTCTGAGGCAGCGAGCCCTGGGTTAGCCATGTTGGCTGCAGATACTGAGCAGAAATCTGAAGGAGCAAAGGAAGCAGTCCCTTAGATTTGGGGGAAGAAAACTATCCCACGGAAAGGAAGTTGGGACTAAATGAACACATACAACATTCCTGTGCTTTTCTGGAGTCTCCAAATTGTTAAGAACAAGCATTACTTTAAAAGTGCAAAAAGTGATTTAAAAAAATGTGAAATAAGTACACGTGGGACAGAAGTAGCTTTGGAACACAGGAGGGAGGGACTGAGGATCCCAGCGATGACGGAGGCAATTAGTTAGTTATTCACAGGGGGAAAAAGGCATTCCGACCCTGGGTGCACAGACACAAAATGAAATGGAAGACTGCCAGTAGGACTCGGTACAGGCACCTGGAGAAGAGGTGTAGTGTGGTTCAYAAAGGTGAACACGTTCACACCCTGCTCCTCAGCAAAGCGCTGGAGAAACTGGCCCGAGTCTGCAGAGACCGCTGTGGCGGAAACAGCAGCTATGGGCATGCTCGCATGTCAGCAAAGTGCTGCAAAGTAGATGCCCATTCATTACTGAGTGGACACACTGGGCTTTATTCCTACGATGGATTACCAAACTGCAGAAACATGATCAAAAGGATGTATCTAACCTAACGGGGAGAAACCAATTACAGAATCACGTTAAAGTGTAGTTTGTGTACAGTTTCAGAGAAGCAAGGCAGATCTTCCTGGTGTAGGGTCACCTAACGCTGGGTTAGGGAGGAGAGCGGGATCCGGAGGGACAGACACAGCCTTCGGAGTGCTGTGGGTACACGGAGGCGGGGAGGCGCGGTGTGAGCCTCGCCCAGGCTCCCGGTAGCATTGACAATGCAATATTTCTGGCACGGAGCGGGTGTTATAATTTTCACGTTACCTAACTTGTTGGCTAAACAGCGAACTGGGAGGATCTTCTGCTGCGCAGGCGCATCCCAGCTCCGCTGTGGGCGGAGCCTGCCGCGGCGACTCTGCAGGTCTCTGGCCCGTGATTCGCCGACCCGGGCAGGGGCGTGGCCTGCCGCAGCGGTTCTTCAGTTCGGACCCGTGATTGGTTTGAGGGSCGGTCCGCGGCGGGTCTCGGCGAGGTCAGGGAGGGGCGGTCCGGAAGGGCCGGCGCCGGGGCTGGCTGTCGAGCTTGGAGGACAGTGGGACCTGCCGCCCTCCGGCCGGCCTCCCTCCTGAGTGACTGCGGCCACGATGGGCCGGAAGGTGACCGTAGCCACCTGCGCCCTCAACCAGTGGGCCCTGGACTTCGAGGGCAATTTGCAAAGAATTTTAAAGAGTGAGTCTGGGGGCGGCGGGAGACCRGAAAGAACAGTCCAGCCGCGCGGGTCTCGTCCCGTCGTGCGCACTGCTTTGCCCTGGAGAAACTCGCAGCCGTGGAAGTGGGGACAGATAGGACAGTGGATGGTGAACTCGTCAGTGTCAAGTGCCCAGATCCTCCCGGTTTGTGGGGAGGGGGGGACACGTTGAGGCACAAGTTGAGAGAAGTCTGCCCCAGAGGTGGAGGTGGGGAAGATCGAGGGTGCACCTGCCTTCAGATGTCTCTGGGGTCCCGGTGGCCAGGCTGGGCAGAGCTGCCCATCCGCCAGGTTGGAGGGGTATGTGGCCACTGGCCAGAATGCTGTGCAGACACCAGAGATGGGAGGGTCTCTGGTCCCAGAGGACCTTCCTGATGGGTGGGCATTGGGAAAAGCCTTCCTGAGAGGGAAGCAGAGTGAGGGGAGGGCTGTCAGCTCAGAGAAGAGTGGGTTTTGAGTGGTCACTGTATAACTGCGTTCATGTAAGCCTACACTTGATGACCTGTGCCCAAACTGGGGCTGATGAAGGCAGACCTACAGGTGTGGTCACTCCAGTGCTTCAAGTGATAACATATTACTGGCTTTTTTTTTTTTTAATCCATGTATCAACCTCCTTTCACTTCCTCAGAGCAGATCTCAATGGGGTGAGTGAGGCCATCTTAGGTATATAGAGTGGTCTCTGCTCCACTGTCTTCTCCTTCCTTCCTCCCATGACTTCACATGGGCAGCTGCTCCTGAAGCCCGATGCTGGCACCACCTCAGTCACCAGCCTCTTCTTGCAGCTGGTCTTGGCACCCACTTGTCCATGAGCTTACAGGGTGTGACTTCCTCCTCCTCTGTGGGGCCAAGGGTCAGCCTGCAGGCCCTCCCTGTTTCTCCTTTCCTGCGCGTGGGCAGGTGTGTGCTGGTCTCTGCGGCCTTGCTATTTACAGGAGAACTGGCCACGAGGGATCAGGACATCACAGAGGAGTGATTTTTCAGCCACACCTACCGCAGCAGCAGGCTTTTTCTGCCTGTGGACGGGTTGTAGGAGTGAAATTGCCCCCTTCTCTGTACATACAGGTATTGAAATTGCTAAAAACAGAGGAGCAAGATACAGGCTTGGACCTGAGCTGGAAATCTGGTGAGAACACACCCACAGCCCGCTGAGAGGGCAGGAAGCAGTGGGACCAACCAGGGCTGCAATGCCAAGCCCATTTAGGAGGCTGTCAGGAACCTGCTTGCGGATGGGATTGATGCCACTGGACACCTGAATGAGAGAGGCCCAGGGACGCTGGTGATTCCAGACTCCTGCGTGGTCCTGCATGGAGTCATTAGAGGAACCCAGCTTTACCAGGTGGAGCTGACTTTAAAACTGGGGTGCACCCGGTCACCCGTGCCCTTGGGCCGTGGTCTCAGCCTCCGTGCTCCCCCCACCAGTACTCACATGTTGAAACCTGATGCCTGGGGCCATGGTGTCTCAACCTGGGGAACACACATTGGCCATGGTCAGTGGGATCGCTGCCCTTATAAAAGAGGCCTGAGGGAGCCTGTTTCCCCCACACCACGTGAGCCCCCTGAAGT